CGGTTAATATGGTATGATTTAAAGTATTGTCAATAATTAACCTAAATTACGTTGTGTCAAGTCTTCTTTCTTTGAGTTGACACGTCAGTGCTGCGGCTCAGTACTATTTTAAAATCTGTAATGCGTAGATGCGGACGAGTGCCACATTACTGTGTTGAACACATTCAAGTAAAATTGAAAAAATACTTTACTCCATCGTTGGATTTTGCAAATCAAATTACATTTTAATTGTTTAAATAAAATAATATTTAATTACAGTATAAAACAAACTTTAATCATCCAGTCCTGAGACTGTATATAAATTCTGCAAATTGCGTGAGCCTCGTCGCGATTGTCTCCAGCGAGATTTTTTGCTAACGTTATTTTCCTCTGGTTATTTAGACGTTAATATTTATGAATGACAGATCTTCAGCTTTGAACTTTTAGTTAATTTGTGAATAACAGAAACGTAATACACGGCGGTTTATTATTCAGTGGGCTTCTGCTTAACTTCGTTTTAAGCGATGGAAAAGCGGTTCACAGCCTAAAATCATTTATGATCAACGATGCTTCAATACGCACAGCAAGGATTGTTCGACTTGAAGTGTCTTCTCCATGGCGTAAATAATTTTTAGTTGTTTATTCTACTGAATGAGTGTTTTCAGTTCTTAATGGCTGTCCATGACGTGCTTTGGAACCTCTCATTGCACAAATTTGTCGCGCAGGTTAGGCGAGGGCTTAGATTTAACATTCGAGCGTTTAAGTCTTGTATTCCCTGGCGGAGTGCATCAACGACTCGAAAATCACACATACTCACACACACACACGCGATATTCTGTTATGCAGAATTTTTGTTTTTTTATTCTTACTAGCCTATAGTTTTCCGCACTTTCATTATTTTCGGGTTTCGGCTAAATTTGCATCAAGGAAATTGGGAAAGTCAATTTACAGTTCAGTTTTTTATATGTAGCCTTCTGTATGTGGCAGTTGATTCGCGTGAGGAAGACTACGGACCGGAGTACAACGCGCGCATTACGGTCGCTGTATTCTTCATCGCCTTCATCGTTGTCATCGCTTTTTTCATGATGAACATCTTCGTCGGTTTCGTCATCGTAACGTTCCAGAACGAAGGTGAACGAGAGTACGAAAACTGTGAACTGGATAAGAATCAGGTAGTTATTTTTTGGTACATTAAGTACGGTGCCATGTGATCGTCATCGTGGTTTCACAGAACTTGAACAGCAGGGTGTTACAGAATTATTGTCTGACCTTTTGTCAACACGTTACTGGTTCAGACTTTTGATTCAAACTGGCTGATGTTTAAATCTTCGCCGCGGTCACATTTCACATTTAGAGGCACCGGCAAAGGTTTCTTGCTTTGTTGGGCGGAAACCCCTATGATGCGCTCTGCGTGTTGCATACAGCTTCAGCCGTTGCATTCGTTTTAGGATTCAGGTCCGGTTCTTGTTAACGCAAAAGTCTAATGGGCATATAACCCTGGACACAAATCGTACTGTAAACTAGTATGTCACATCGGAATTGAGTACCGTTGTTGTTGGTAAATAATAACCTTTGCTGGCGGTCACATGTCTTCATTGACGGAAGTTCATACAATAAAATCCAAATGCGCTTAGCTTGTAATCAGATTGAATCTGTGGGTCATTTCCAAGCCTGTCAGATTATGGCATTAAGTTGGTCCTTTATGGACATGCCGTGATTTTTGACTTTAGAGTCACAGCCTTAACCACTTACAGCAAATTAGGCAATGAGTAAGAGAAAAAACTCTTTTCATTTTGTGGAATAATACATTCTTTACTATGATACTCTCCTTTGGAAGGTGATCTTTGCACGAGTGAGTATCTTGTTTCTGTCGATGGCTCCGATGG